ACCGCCTCCGCTGCTCTTCCCCGTGGCCGACGGCTCGTACTGGGCTTACGCGCTGATGCTGCTGGCCCTGTCCCTCTTCTCGGTGGGCATGGTGGGCAACCTGGCGCTCATGTGCACCGTGTGGCACAACGCGTACCTGCAGAGCGCCTGGAACTGCATCCTGGCCGGCTTGGCCTTCCTGGACTTTCTGGTGCTGTTTTTCTGCCTGCCGGTGGTCGTCTTCCACGAGCTGACCTTCAGACGCCTGCTCGGAGGGGCGTCGTGCCGCCTGGTGCCTTACCTGGAGGTCAGCATTTTTAGTCATCGCAACAACTTTAGATTCTGACTTGTCTATGATCATCAAAATTACACTCTTACCCCCCATAAAATGTGGAGTTTTTTTCCCAGTAATAGTGTTGTCAGTTTTATTTCTTTCATTTTTAAATACTTTTTCCTCAACGTTTTTTTTCGTTGTAAAATTCTATCTTTATTTTCATCAAAATTAGACTTTTTGATACACCCCCCATCCCCAATAATTTGGATTCTCGTGTGATTTCTGACATTGGAGTCCAGCAGTTAGACTCCAATGTCAGAGAAGTTGGATTTAGACATAAAATGAAGACTTTCTGATGATACAATTTCAATATTTTTGCCTCCCTCCCACCCGGGCCGATTCAAGGATCAAAGGTTTAGTGGTGCTGAGCGCCAGGCCAGCCAAGATAACATTGCACGGTTTTGTACATTTCACCGCAAATGTACACATCCCTCTCTTTTTGTCCCAATAGAAACTCTCATTTTAATGTGTTGAGGATGTTTTAAAAGCGCGTACTGTTCGAAAAAATGTCCGAACTTTTAGGGGTGTTGGGATTCAATGTCGCGGTGCTTCAGCACCACCCCCCCACCCCCAAAGTGGGCTAAAAACAACTATGCCTGCCACATAAAAAAATAAGAAAAACATTTTAAAAATATTGAAAAAATATCGACCACGGGTAAATCAGCAGGTGAGTGTCTTTTGAGTGGCAGGAGGGAGGGAAAGCGTAAAGAAGAAGAAGGAAGAGGACGTGTTGAGGATGTTTTAAAAGCGAGTACTGTTAGAAAAAATGTCCTAACTTTTACTTTTAGGGGTGTTGGGATTCAATGTCAGGGTGCTTCAGCAAAGTGGGCTAAAAACAACTATGCCTGCCACATAAAAAAATAAGAAAAACATTTTAAAAATATTGAAAAAATATCGACCACGGGTAAATCAGCAGGTGAGTGTCTTTTGAGTGGCAGGAGGGAGGGAAAGCGTAAAGAAGAAGAAGGAAGAGGAGGAGCACCCCCTTGCTTCACCAAGTTGGCCGAGGTGACATTTTCACCTTGGCACCAAAACGCTTTTGTGGGCTTAGCGGTTTTCCTCCTTCTCTTGTTGTGAAAGGCGCAAATCCGGCTAATGAGTCTTAGTGCCTTTGTCATGCTAATGAGACTAATCAGATGCCCCCATTAATGATCTTAACTTTGCGCCTTAACAGCGGGGACGAAGACAAGTGGGATAATCAGCGTCTGCTTTGGTCTTGTGCCTTTTGTACACACGCACACGCACACACTCATGCTTTCAAGCCACGGAGTGGGTGTCAAACAAAGGTTAAGGTTCAGAGTTTTGAGTTTTAAACAAGGGTTAGGGTTCCAAGCCAAGGTTAGTTATTCCCAACTGGGTTCAGAGTTTTGGCTTTTAAACAAGGGTTAGGGTTTCAAGTTAGGGTTCCAAGCCAAGGTTAGTTATTCCCAACTGGGAATTCAAGCAAAGACTTGGGTCTCAAGTGAGTGTTTGAAGCTAAGGTTAGGGTTCCAAATTCGGGTTTCAAGACAGCATTAGCGTTTCAAAATAGGGTTTCAAGCCCGGGACTGGTTGTTAAACAAAAGGTTCAGCGTTGAGGGCGTGATGAGGGTTTGAA